AGAGAGAGACAGAGAAAAAGAGATGATAGAAAGATTCAGATAGATCAGATAGACAGACAGATTGATTCAGATAGCTAGCTAGAGAGAGGTAGGTAGATGAGAGAGAGGGGGGAGAGAGAGAAAGAGGAAGAGGGAGGGAGGGAGAGAGAGAGAAGGAGGGAGGGAGATAGAGAGAGAGGAGGAGGAAGAGGGAGGGGGGAGAGAGAGAGAGAGAGAGAGAGAGCTATTCAGATAGATAATAGACAGGTGGAAGACAGACAGACAGAATGTTCTGTATGGGTAGAACTAGCTGTCCAGTGTTGAACTAGGGCAGCCCATGTAGTTGTAAACCAAAATGAGTCCCTCCAGAAACTAGTTCTGCTAAACATGGGATTTTTTTTTAACCATTGTCCAAATGTGCTCCACGTCTCACCTTCCAACGGCTTCTTCCTCCTAGAATACGGAAGTCCACCTACCTGCGTTTACAGCTCCTGGCTAAGGAGGAGTACAAGCTGAGCCATCTGATGGAAGAGTCCTTGCTGGAGGATAAAATTGCCCCCATCTTGTACAAACTGCACCTCGAAGCGATGGACCGGAGGCTCCGGATAGTCCTCCAGGCCGTCAGGGACTGTATAGAAAAAGAGGGCTACAACAAGGTGGTGGACAATGACTTTGCCTCCCCTAGGAGCACCGTCACGACCGAGAGGTAGTGAAACGGACAGACTTCCTTCAACTCCGCGGAAGAAGACCGACACGTCGACCAAGCCACCCTCCCAACAGTCTCCTGAAGGACTGTGTGTAGGCCACGTTTGAATTCAGTGAATTCAGAAATTGCTCTTCTAATTGTTCTCCAAGTAGCGAAGGGGTAGACTCCGCAACGGGTTTAGAATCTCTTGCGGAATAATAGGTAGCTCGCCCACCAAAAGGCTCTCGGGACAATCCACGTGTTCTCAGTGGACGTGGTCAGGCACCTGCCCTGTTTTTCATCCAGCCTCGCTTGCCTTAGCTTCTAAATGGTTCTCCATTGTCAGTGAGGGCTTTGGAGCCCACGTGTGGGCGGAGCTTCTGGCAAGCCCCACCTCCTCCCCACCCCACCCCCGTGCTTTCATTTCTCCTGCGGCCTCCTGTGGTCTCATGGTTCTCCCCTTTCTCCTTTCTGCTCCTTCAGCCCACGAGTCCCACAATTGGACCTCGCCAACCCAGTTGAGAAAAACCTTGCAGGAAATGTCAAAAAAGTCATCCATACATCCCGGAGCTGACTGCATTTGGAGGAATGTTAACTGGAACTCCTCACCGGCTGGACCAACCCATTCCTTCCCTTCTTTTCCTTTGTACAGGAAACCCATCTTTATTTAATATTTTGTATTTATAGTGGAGATGGTCGTGGAAAATGCGACCTTTGGATGAGAAGAAGGGAGTGAACGGATGTCTACCACCCATAAGAAATGTTCTTCGAGAGAATTCCAGAGAAGTCTCAGCGGTGGTGGCTGCTGAAGCTATCCTAGATCTGAGTTTGGGGGGGAGGGTGGATGTCGCCAAAGAGGTGAATGAATTGGGCCTTTTGAAACTGTGCACACCTTACGGGAAAGGATGAACTGTCAATATTCTCCCTAACAAACGGAGGAGAGGGAGGATCAGGAATGGAGAAGGCCTTCACGTGGTTGTGACATCTCCGTTCCTTGGGTCAACTTTCAAGGCGTTCTCCTCCTCCTCTTTCTCTTTTTCTCTTGCTCCCCCCC